TATAGTCCCCAGAACCACTGCAGCTTAGTGTAGTGGTTCTGGTGTCCATAGCCTGTCCCTGCAGGCCTTTTAATGTAAACACGGCGGCACTGCAGCACTGGTGTTAGTTAACATGGCAGATCATATAGGTGGGGCATTGTGATGTCACATGGGGGGGGGGGGCGGCAAACTTTACTTTTGCCTAGGGCGGCAAAAATCCTTGCACCGGCCCTGTCTGTATGTCAGTATGAATGTATGTCTGCATATCATTATGAACGTATGTCTGTGTGTATGTGTGTATGGATGTCTGTGTGCATGTATGTCTGTCAGTATGTCTGTATATATGCATGTATGAGAGTCTGAATGTATGTATGTCTGTATGTCATTATGAATGTATGTCTGTGTATGTCTGTATGCCATTATGAATGTGTGTATGGATGTCAGTGTCTGTATTATTTATTTATAAAATATTTTACCAGGAAAGATACATTGAGATTTATCTCGTTTTCAAGTATGTCCTGGGTCCACAAGTCATTGCATTGTTATATTAGGTACAACAAAATACAAAAACAATATTAATACACAATATATACAAAATTTAACATAGAACAGGCAGGAAATATATAATCAACCATGACACGTGCATTCTGTTTTGAGGTATGTAGAGAGGGATCTCTTAAATGACTTTAGGCTTAGGGAAGATTTTAAATTGTGCGGGAGGTCGTTCCACAATTGCGGTGCTCTATAGGAGAAGGAGGATCGGGCCGCTTTCTTTTTGTATTGAGGTAGACTAAGTAAAGTGCTTGTACTGGATCGGAGCTTATAGAAAGTGGGAACAGCTGGGGAAAGCATTTTGTTCAGGTAGGGTGGGAGTTTCCCAGAAAAGCTCTTAAAAACAAGGCTGGAAAGATGAAGGGTGCGTCTGGATTCCAGCGATAGCCAGTTTAGTTCTTTTAGCATGTCACAATGATGGGTCCTGTTTTTACATTGTAGCACAAATAGGCAGAACGAGTTATACAATGTGTTGAGTTTATTAATGTGGGATTGCGATGCAGATGCATATACTAAATCCCCATAATCAATGATTGGAATCAGCATTTGCTGTACAATCTTTTCCTTTACTGTAGGGCTTAGGCAGGCTTTGTTTCTGTACAGGGCACCTAATTTTGGATAAAGTTTAGATACAAGCTTTTCTATGTGCAGGCCAAAAGATAGATTGGGGTCTAATATCACACCCAAGTATTTGAAAGAGTGGACTGCGGTCAGTGTGCCATTTGAATTTGTTTTGATGGATAGGTGAGAATTGTGTAATTTGTGTAATTTAGGTACTGTTCCAAAGATCATTGTGACAGTTTTGTCAGTGTTCAGGAAGAGTTTGTTTTTTGCGATCCACTTTTCTACCTCTGTAAACTGGTCTTGGAGCACAGCCTCAAGTTGCGGTAGATTGGATTTGCTCGCATAGATTACCGTGTCATCTGCGTACATGTGTACATTTGAGGATTGGCAGACATTAGGCAGATCATTTATAAATAATGTAAATAGTAGGGGGCCGAGAATGGAACCTTGGGGAACACCACACGTGACTGGGAGAGGGAGGGAGTCACTGTCAGAAATGGACACATATTGCGAGCGATCCGATACATACGATCGAAACCAGTTTAGAGAACGATCACCAATACCTGAGTTTTTGAGTTTGTGCAGTAGAATGTCGTGGTCTACTGTGTCAAAGGCCTTAGCAAAATCAAGGAAAATAGATCCAGTTAGGGCTCCTTGTTCCATGCCAGTTTGGATGTCATTGCAAATTTTTAGGAGGGCAGTTGTAGTGGAGTGATTCTGGCGAAAGCCCGATTGATCAGGGGTCAGATAGTTTAATTGTTGGTAGTACTGCGTATGGACACATTTTTCTAAGATTTTTGACAATACCGGGAGCAATGATATTGGGCGATAGTTAGAAACTAAAGTAGTGTCACCACTTTTATGGATAGGCACTACTCTCGCAGTCTTCCAAAGTTTGGGTATGTATCCAGACACCAAGGATTCGTTAATTAGAGTTGAGACGGGTTTAGCAATTGCCGGCGCACTGAGCTTCAACAGCATTGCTGGGATTTGATCAGTTCCGGACTGGTTTTTCATTTTTAGATTATTAAGATGTCTGTATGTATGAATGTATGTGTGTATGTGTGTATGTATGTATGTTAGTATGTGTCTGTCTGTCACTATGTATGCCTGTGTGTATGTCTCAGTATGTGTGTGTCAGTATGTATGCCTGTATGCGTGTATGTCTGTTTCAGAATGTGTGTCTGTTAGTATGTATCTGTGTCCTTTTGTAACAGTGTGTGTTTGTGTCTGTGTGTGTTCCTGTGGGCGGTATTTGGACACAGAGCCAGTGGGCGGTATTTGGAGGCGGGCCCCAGGGGGCCCAGACCCTGAGCTGAGTTAGGGCCCCCAAAATTTCTGGTGGCGGCCCTGATGGGTGATAATATGCACTATTTATTAGGCAAATGTGTTATATTTTTTTAACTACATTATTAAAAGTCAAGCTTTATATGGTGAAACATTGTCCCAAGAACTCAATAGCCAGAAAGTTTGAGTCATTGTGAATTGCAACATGCTTCAAATATATTCTATAGCCACCAAGAGATCAGATTTCCATGCATGCCCTGAATTAGCACAGGTGAGTCAGTCAGCTTCAACGAGGCCTTTATTTTCTATACAGACAAGACATCCAGAAATACTGGCCAGTGAATTATGGGTTAAGGATCATTGGATTCTGATCTAGAAAATCGTTACCTTCAGCCACAGTTAGTGTTAATATTAGAACTGTAGTTAGTGTTAAGGCTAAGCTAAATTCTAGGGTATTTTAAGGATTAATGTTTATTGTTAAGTTAGTGTAGTGTAGGGGTTAATGGCTAGTGTAATTTTAGTGTAAGAATTAGCCATTAGTTTTCTTGTGCAAAAATTAGTTTGAGCAGTTTCAACCCAATCTAATTCCTTGTGATTATTGTTGGGATTCATGGTTATTATTAAATAAATGTAGTGATGGAATTAAGAGCTAGTGTTAGCGTAGTGAAGGGGTTAAGGGCTAGTGTCAGTATCATGTAGGGGTTAATAGTGTAGTTTAGGGGTAAATTTAGTGTATCAATAGTGTATGGGTCAATGGTTAGTGTTAATTTAGTGTAGTTTAAGGGTTAATATAGTGTATCGTATAGATGGGGTTAATGGTTAGTGTTGGTTTAGTGGTTATTGTAGTGTGGGGATTAATGTAGAGTATCAGTTGTGTAGGGGTTAATGGTTAGTGTTAATTTAGTCCAGTTTAGAGATTATAGAGGTTAATGTAGTGTAGGGGTTAATGGTTAGTGTTACGTTAGTGTAGTTTAGGGGTTAATGCAGTGTATCAGTAGTGTAGGGGTTAATGGATAGTGTTAAGTTAGTGTAGTTTAGGGGTTAGTGCAGTGTATCAGTAGTGTAGAGGTTAATGGTTAGTGTTAGTCTAGGGGTTAATACAGTGTGTCAGTAGTGTAGGGGTTAATGGTTAGTGTTAGTTTAGGGGTTAATGTAGTGTTTGGGTTAATGTAGAGTATCGGCAGTGTAGGGATTCATAGTTAGTGTTAATTTAGTGTAGTTTATAGGTTAATGCAATGTATCATTAGTGTAGGGATTAATTGTTAATGTTCGTTTAGTGTAGTTTAGGGGTTAATGCTGTGTATCAGTAGTGTAGGGGTTAATGGTTAGTGTAGTTTAGGGGTTAATGTAGTGTTATGGTTAATGTAGTGTAGTAATCGGCAGTGTAGGGGTTAATGGTTAGTGTTAATTTAGTGTAGTTTAGGGGTTAATGTAATGTATCAGTAGTGTAGGTGTTAATGGTTAGCGTAGTTTAGGGGTTAATGTAGTGTTATGGTTAATGTAGTGTAGTAATCGGCAGTGTAGGGATTAATTGTTAATGTTCGTTTAGTGTAGTTTAGGGGTTAATGCTGTGTATCAGTAGTGTAGGGGTTAATGGTTAGTGTAGTTTAGGGGTTAATGTAGTGTTATGGTTAATGTAGTGTAGTAATCGGCAGTGTAGGGGTTAATGGTTAGTGTTAATTTAGTGTAGTTTAGGGGTTAATGTAATGTATCAGTAGTGTAGGTGTTAATGGTTAGCGTAGTTTAGGGGTTAGCGTAGTTTAGGGGTTAATGTAATGTATCAGTAGTGTAGGTGTTAATGGTTAGTGTTAATTTAGTGAAGTTTAGCTAATGCAGTGTTTCAGTAGTGTAGGGATTAGTGGCTAGTGTTAGTCTAGTATAGCTTAGGGGTTAATGCTGTGTATCAATAGTGTAGGGGTTAATGGTTAGTGTAGTTTAGGGGTTAATGTAGTGTTATGGTTAATGTAGTGTAGTAATCGGCAGTGTAGGGGTTAATGGCTAGTGTTAATCGAGTGTAGTTTAGGAGTTACTGTAGTATATAGGTAGTGTAGGGGTGTTAATTTAATGTAGTTTAGGGGTTAATGCAGTGTATCGGTAGTATAACAGTTAATAGTGTTAAAGGGAGTTGTTCTCTGTTAGACAATGTTGGGACTGTGCTAAGAGTGTGTGAGTTACAATCCTGAGTGACAGCTTTGCGAGTGTATTAATTTAGAACTGGGACAGGTATGTTCTGGTTCTGCCTGAGATCAGGGGTCTGTGAGCTGTTCTCAGGTGGTCCGTGTATTATTGCCATACAGTATTATGCAACTATGCTGGTTATTCTAATAATGGATTTCTGTTTATTGGTGCTTACTGGTGTTTGTTATAGTTTATTGGTAATTCATATTTGGTGTTTTTAGTGCATATTGATTGGTCTTTGTTGGTTTGTATTAAAAGGACACTATAAGCACCAAAATAACCTTTTTTTTTTACATCACAGCCCTAGTCATACCTCCCTGCATGTGACTTGCACAGCCTTCTTAAACACTTCCTGTAAAGAGAGATCTAATGTTTAAACTTACTTTATTGCAAATTCTGTTTAATTTAGAATTTCTTATCTACTGCTCTGTTAATAGCTTGCTAGACCCTGTAGAAGCCTTCTATGTGTGATTACAGTTCAATTTACAGAGCAGGAGATAAAAACTTTTAAAATAAATTACATCTGATTGGGAATGATACAATTTTTTTTTCAATCTAATTAGTATTACAGCAAATAACATTTCATAAGAATAACATGTTGCAATATTTTAGATTACATTAAGATTACAACAGGCCAAGTAGGGCATCAAGGCATATTATCAGGTTATTATATATTACACAGAAACATAAGTAAATTTATACCCTAGGGGAGTGTTTCCTAATTAGTGTTCCACAGAACCCTAGGGTTCCGCGAGAACAAAACTGGGGTTCCGCAGCGATTTGCCAGTCGGGTGGCTCAAGCATTTAGGACCACCCGATGGGTATCGCTAAACAGGGGTCTGGTCAAGCCCTGCGGGAGTCTAAGACCGCGACCGGACCCCTGTTGTATGGGACCCCAGACAGAGCTGGCTGGAGGAAAAGGGAGTGCAGCCAGGCACACCATCTTCAGCCAGCAGCCTGCAGCACTGAAGGAAGAAAAAAGGTAAGTTAAACATATGTGTATGCACCTTTGTCAGTGTGTGTATCTGCCAATGTGTGGAAATCTGTGTGTGTGTAAGTGCCAGTTTGTGTATCTGTGTGTCAAGGTGTGTATGTGTCACTGTGTGTGTATACATGTGTGTCAGTGTATCGGTCAGTGTGTGTATGTGCCAGCGTGTGTGTGTACCTGCCAGTGTGTGTGTGTGTGTATGTGCCAACATTTTGTCACAATTGTCAGGTGTAGTAAAAATACCTAAGACAAAGAACTACTTTTTCTTTTATTTTATCCTATTGTATAGCGCTGCAGAATTTGTTGGCGCTTTATAAACAATAATAAATTATTAAGAGAAATAGATCAGAAATGAAGAAAAGAAGAACAGATCTTAGCTCCAGTAATCCCCTCCATTCCTTGTTACCCCCTCTTTATCTCCTCGTTCTATCCTGATTGTCTTTTATCTCACAGTTTTCTTCTCCATTCATTCCTTTCCCTCTCTCCTATCATTGTGTTTCGCTGGAGCAGGGATGGGTAACCTCTGTCTACCCAGGAGCTGTCACAATCCTCAGCCAGCAAGATTTTACTTGACCATAATATGAGCAGTGACAGCACTCTCGTAATTGCAGCAAGATTGCATCAATCATAAAAGCAGGTGTCAGTTTTCTGTGGATTTTGACTCCCATGATGCTTGGCCAACCAAGTAGCTGGCTTGTCACGGTGTAAGATTCACGTCTCTGCGCTGTTCCCTGTCATGTGATCCGTGTGTGTAAACGTGCTGCAACCTGGGAAATTGTGGAATTTTATCAAAACCAGATTTTGGTTCCTCCATTTGAATAAATGATTAATATCGTCATTGAGTATTTCTTAACCCCTTCATGGCATACGATGTGCCAGAATTGTCGTATTATCATTTAAATTTATCTAACCCACAGCCCTCAGAGGGTTAAAAACCACTGCCATGCTGCTCAGTGCTGTACAACCTTACAACCAGTGGCTGTATGAGCGGAAGGGGGGGTAGGGATGCCCCAGATATTAGCGACAGCCAGAGAGAGGCCAGTATCCAATGGTCAGGGTCCTTAATTCAGCCAAAAATGCGTCTCTCTAGTGGCTAGCCAATGGCTGGTTTATCATTCCCCTATTATACAACCAATAGGTGTCTCTGGTGGCCAGCCAATGGCAGAGCCTGTTTTATCATCCCAACATATAGCAGCCTCTCCTGTTGTCTCTCACAGTAACATCGTGCCTATCTCCCATCGTCACTGTCACATCCCGGCTGCCATTTCTCCTCCCACAACCATTTCCATTTTGTTTTAAAGGGAAAATGGCTCTATCCACAATTCAGAAAGTGGCCTCATTCTCCTGTCTGGTGCTGTGTGTTTCTCTGCTTCTGCCCAAAACCTTTTTATCCCGAGGGAAGCAGCCGGGGCAGCCGGAGGGTAAGAGGTATCCGTGCATGATATGTCACCATCCCCCATTCACCGATGCTGAGCTCTGTCTGTGCTCGTACTGTCCGTGCAGCATCCTTTGTGGAAGAACAAGGAGTCATTATACTAACAGACAAAACACAGATTACTGGGCTTTGTCTTTTAAAGGGGAACTGACACTTCTGTGGGATTTACAGCATTCAATAAAATCACCTAGAACTTGCCTTTACTTTTCTCAGAAGATGCTCTGTGTTCTTTTGAATTTATAATAAAGATTTAGCAAGTGACATCACAATCCAGTTCAGACAAGGCACAGCCAGGGCACACATTGCACATGAAAATGAGAGATTGAAACATTGTTTCATTTCTCCTCCTCTCTGTATGCTCTCTCTGTGCTGACTGCCAGGTGTAATGGGCGGAGCTTATAACAATGATTGACACGGAGCTAACATGGAGGCATCCAGTTACAGGATAAAGAGCTGTGGGATACAACATTACATTTTTATTTTTACACCTTAGAAAATGCTTATTTCTTAAATATAGAGATAAATACACATAATATCAAAAATACTGGAAAGTGACAGTTCCTCTTTAACCCCTTTATGGACAGAAAGATGTACAGACATACTTGCAAATAATAACTATATACCAGTAAAATCAGCTATTGTCTAACTCAGCTGCTCTTTCTCAGAGATGCAATTCCATTGTCAGGGCTCCAAAATTCACAATTTAGTAAATGTGCTCTATTAGATATTTTCTAAGTGGGATCTGCCAATTCTCCAGACCCATCCCAGACCCCACTAATGTCCCCCTTGTTTCCCCCTTTCTCCCCTTTTTACAGTCTTTGTAAACTAAATATAGAGTGCAAGTTCTGTAGGTGAGACTGTAAAATTCTCCATAGAATCAGGTTGTGTCCACAAATGAAGCCACTTGGTTGATCCAGTCGCTCATTTCCTAAATCAACGGCATGGGTCTTGTAAGTCTATTGCATGCTTTCTTCCATTTTATTACCACCTCTGCTGGAAGGCTATTCATTGCATCTGCTCCATTTTCTGTTTAAATTTATTTCCTGACTTTAACCCTTCATTTCCTCCCAACACACAGCATGGTGCCCTGCGCCAGATAGTGCAGCTGTATTGTAGGTGGTGGACAGGGGGGTCATAAAACAGAAGGAGAGAAATTCATGTAAAAATCTATGCAGACATTTTATTTGTGCATGAATATCACTACCATCTCTCCTGATGGGTTGTTTCAGGGATCTACAACTAGACAAGATGAAGGTCTCAAGACATGGATTACTTGTATAATATATATATATATATATATATATATACATACATACATATTTATTTAGCACAATTCATTATTTTTTTTATAAATATATAAATATAATTCAAAGAAAAGAATTGCTTGCATTCTATCCCAAATCCTTATGCACATTTAAATAACTGGAGATTTTAGTACCCCTCCAATGGCCATTTAAGTGTAAGTTCACCTGCCACGTCAAGGCAAACCTCTTATGTGAGTCCACGCTAGCAATTCACCTGGCTTTCTTCAGCTAAAGGAAAATCTCTGAGACAGAGAGGGGTATTTTTCTAAACCCCTTCACACTTATTAACCCTGAATAGTTAACACATGGGGTGGACGGCAGCACTGTAACATGGCTGCGTGGTACAAAAGATTTTCGTATATAAACATAATTGTTTTCAAGAAGACAAAATGAACAGGGAATGGAACAGAAATTAATACAGGAGTAAGGGACAATAATACGACAATTCACAAATCATACAATAATGGCAATTTATTATTTTTTTAATTAATGCAGATAATAATGACAGACCATGCAGTATTTATCGTAGCCAGATTTACAAATCAGGCGCCTGTCGGTGCACAATTCCCAGGCACCCCCTACCTTCTTCTTTCAAAAAAACAATTCTCAGTTGCTATGTGATTTGGAGGGATCTCGGATTCCACTATCACCTCATACCACACATAAAAAAGTGGTGTAAAAATGTATCTAAAAGGGGAAAAAAAACACAAAGCATCCTTTAATAGAAAGGCACTCCTAGGCAACTGCCTACTCTGCCCACTGCCTTCAGGGCTTCATGCCTCTTAAAGTTCCAAAATGTTCCCAGCTTGGCTCTCTTCGTTAAATGTTTGCTAATTCAGTTAATTAAAATCCCACCTGCAATCTTTATGCCAGCAGTAGCTTTGTGACCTCGCCACCTCTTCCAACCTGGTTGTAAAATATTATGGAATGAGGGGAACTGTGTTTCCTCCCGACCAATATTCCTGACAAACTGCACTGAGGGATGTCACAGATATTACACGTCATAAGAATTGACATTTAATTAAAGATTACAGTTTGTGACTCCTAGTCCCATTTCCTTACAATAGCACAGTGCAATTCATCACGGCTGACACCACTCGGATAGTCTGGCCTTTTGTCAACCTCAATAACAATTTAATTCAAGAGTGTCGCTTAAATGTCCAACAGCTTGATGGAAGAAATGCAATAATGTCAGTGGGTTGTGCTTATAAACAGCCCTTTCACAGTGTATGTGTGTTTATAATATAAATCTGGATATAATAAAAATGGATAAAAAATATAACACAAACGATACAAGGGTTCTATATCTATGGGGGTTCGGTATTAAGAGTAATTGGGGCTTACACTTTTTAAAGTTATCAGGAACATTCCGTTGGCTTCCATGGTGATATTTCCACAGAAATACTCTTTATGCAAAATCCCTATATGTGTACACATATCAATATCATTATCATTGTCTTGTCTTTTGTGCAATACAATTTGTTTGTTTCCTGGCATTAAAGGGACACTACACTTCCCAAATACAAAATAAATAAAAATCACTGTTTAGTAGATATGCCACAAGTGAAAACCTGCTTGCATTTAATTATGCATGTTTTCATTGGAGTTACATCTAAAAACAGCTTGCAAAAACAGCAGATCCCTTGTCTGCTGCCATTGCAAGCCCTCCTCTTCTAACCCCGCCCAGACTTTTTTGTACTGTCCAATCACAGACTTCCTAATGCAGTTCAGTGAGAAGTCTTTATAAGGCAGGTGCTCTGGGCAATTGCTGCCTCTTGAGTTCAGTGCAAATAAGCTAACCAAACCAGGAAGTAACATGATCTGTTGTCTGCTTGAAAAGCCAGGGGTTGTGTCCAGGTTAATTTATAAAAGTGACAATTTCTATTAAAATCTGAACTTTTCCAAAATGAAGAAAGTAGGACATAATCTTCACACATAAAGCTTTTGATTAAGCTAAAGTGCTTTAGGGGTCTGGAGTGTCCCTTTACGCTTTCTGTCTCTGTCCTGCTTTGCTTCAGGTGAACACAGAAGCTGTAACAGATCCTCTATACTCTGACTGAGTATATCTGTTGTAAATCTCCCGAGTCCCAAGTGAAGCAGTGATTAGAATTCCGAGCTACCCAAACATCAGCCTAGACCTGATGAAGGGTACAAAAGAACTGTTTTATTATGGCCAGATGGCCCACTTATATACACAGAACCCCAGCATGGGGTCTCCAGCAAGGACACCGTAAAACACGCCCCAAACACTCCCACAACACACCCTGGAGTCTCTGTGTCTGGGAGATAATTAAGTGTACTTTGCTTAAACTAATTATCTCCCAGGCTCTAGAGTTACAAACTATAAAACATAAAATATTAAAAATATGCATAATACAAATAGAAACCCCCACAAATTTTATATCCCCGGATAGCCTGGGTCTGATCGTCCAAATAGCGCTCAGATTCCACGAACACAGCTGAATCGTCACCAGGGTAAAGTTTTGACCGACTGCACATGTGGCATCCACCCAAATCAGTTCCAGTGATTCAGTGGTAGCAGTTAGTCATTTTCAGGAGTTCCAAACCGAACAAAAAGATGAATGGTTCCCCTGGCTCATAGGTAGCGATTGTTCACCTTGTTCATGCGAACAATCCTACTGAACAGTGCTCTCCTGGGAAGTAGATGCACGAATGAAATCACTGGTGTTCGCGAGGTCGAGTGTCCAACTAATAGTTCCAGACACTCGTTGACCAGGTCCCGCTGCCTGCGTTCGTTTTCAGATACGAATGATGGCCACACAGAAAGAGCATTTGAGTTTGTGGTTTCTTTGATGTTTAATGAGCATGGGGGTGGTCTGTTTTCGGTAGATTGTAGCTCCCAAAAGGGGAAAACATGAATGGGGTTTGGGAACATATTACCCAACTTAGCAGGAGAATATCTTGGACACAGGCAAAATAGTGAGTTTTGTCACAGAAGCATTTTGCTACATTGTAATTCCTTTTATTGTTTTAACGTTACATCAACCAACCTTAGTTCCTTTCAGCATCCAGGACACATATGACAAAATAAATTAAAAAGTGTTTTCCGTACTCATGACATAAATTGTAATTATTTTATTATAGGTAGTCACTTTCCTTCAGGTGTACATCATTCTAAACCGAATGATGGCCGGACTGCAGGATCCTTTTTCCCAA